AAATTTCAGCTGTTCACTACCCTTCTCTGTGGAGTAAGGTGCCCAAAGAAAATTACTTCTTTCTCAGAGATAAGAGAGGAAAGGATGAGTGAAGAGGAGATACATTGATAAGGTTCATGTCAGTGGCTATAAACTCAACAAATGGCATGATAAGGTCTTTTGCTAAAACAAATAAGAAGGCATAGGTGCTTAAGGGCAGAAAAAAATATTTTAGAATCACCACATGAGTCAGTATTATTAACTGTCTAGCGAAAAATTATGAAATTTTTAGCAGATCAAATGAGTACAATTTCATCAATTTTCCCAACAATGCTCAAGTAGCTCAAAGGAAGGAGTGAAAAAAGCAGACAATGAAAACCAACAAAGTTTAGACACTGAAAAGATGGAAACATTAAAATATGATGGATTATATATTTTTTCACCTATCTGTTCTAACATATAAGAGGATATTCCTTGTGTATGGAGAGTATCTAAACAATGTCTGCTAAATTAAAGATAGGAAAGATGAAATGGAGAAACAGAGTAACAGTAATAAGAAGGCTACCCTGAACATGTTCAAAATAACCTTCAGTTTCACCACTAATCTGACCTAAAATGAGAAAGTCACACATTGGGTACATGCTATTAAAATATGCCTGGTTTTCTGCTCTCCTGTTTTTCCCAACCTCACTTTTAATACCACTTGAACTCCTAATTATAAACTCAGTCCTATACTAGGTTCTAGGATCAGACTGGACATTAGAAAGGATTTAAGAAGCACCACTTCACGTCTGGGAAGACTATCTAGTCAGCTTGTATTCCTCTTCTGGTAACTGCAACCCAGTCTGACTCTATGCAGGGGCTTTGTTCTTAAAAACAGCCTGATATCCAAGTCCCTTTTAAGTTTAAAGCTCTGCCTTGCTCTTTATTTTAATTGATTGATTGCTTGCTCGAAATGGGGTCTTGCTATGTTGCCTAGACTGGTCTTGAACACCTGAGTTCAAGCAATCCTTTCACCTTGACCTCCCAAAGTGCTGTGCCCAGCCAATTTATTTAGAGACAGGGTCTCTCTATTGTCTGGACCAGAGTGCAGAGGTGCAGTCATAGTTCACAGCAGCCGCAAACTCCTGGGCTCAACCAACCCTCCCACCTCAGTCTCTGGAGAAGCTAGGACTATAGGCAATCGCAACCATGCCTGGTTAAATTTCTTTTACAAAATTTTTTTAGAGATAGGGTCTTACTATGTTGCCCAGGCTGGTCTAGAACTCTTGGCCTCAAGTGATCCTCCAGTCTCCACAAGCACTGAGATTACATGTGTGAGTCACCACACCCACCCTATCTTGCTCTTTATAGTCTGACACCTTCATGTCTCAAAGATTTGAGTACTGCTTCTGAGCCTGAATCTCTGTGGTTAAAGCTCTATTCTCTGCTGATATGCTTGTGTGATGCCAACTATCTATGTGCCTGACTCATGGAATATTTCCAACACTTAGATTTTCCTCATTGCCATGATCTGCTTATCCGCCCATTAGGATACCCTGATGCCAACTGCTGGGGTAGATTAAAGGCAACCATGCCTTGCTCCTCTCTGTAACCTAGCATAATGTCTGATACGGTGTTCTCTCTTTCTATCTCAACTAGTTAATTAGATAGCCTCCCTTGGCCAGCACATACATCCATTCCCAAACTAGCATGTTTACCTCCAGATATAGGTCCCTCTCATTCTGCCTGGCCCACTGTGTCATAAATCATGAACATTACAATAGCTATATGAATGATCATCTTTATAGGCAATGATCTTTCTGAAATAGTTAATGCTAACCTTTGCAGAAATATAATGAATTAGCTAACAAAATCTGTGTGATCATCTTCCTTTTAGGTCTTACACAGCAGGTAACTGTCTTTCTGAAACAGTTACATGCTAGTCTTTGCAACAGTATGATGAAGTAAATAACATTTCAACATTTCTTCCAGGACTATGAGTTCATAACATACAAACTAAATAGCAAATATTCTTTTGAAGGAAAATCTAAAGTATTTAGTCAGATAAACAATCTTTTAAGATAAAAAACAAGTATTCCTTAGCCGGGCTTTGTGGCTCTGCCTGTAATCCCGCGTCTATGGGAGGCTGAGGTGAGGTGAGTGGATTGCCTAAGCCCGTGAGTTCAAGACCCGCCTGGGCAGCGAGACCTCATCTCTACAATAAATCAAAAAATCAGCTGGGTGTGGTAGCACATGCCTGTAATTCCGGCTTCTTAGAAGGCTGAGGCAGAAGGATCGCTGGAGCCCAGCAGGTCGAGGCTGCGGTGGCCAGGAGCAGCCACTGCACTCCAGTCTGGGCGACAGAGTGAGACTCCAACTCAAAAAAAAAAAAAATTTTGTTCAAGAGGTCCAGTTACTTTTCAGAATAGGGTGCAAAATATAAACAGTAAGTAATGAAATTAACAGTCTTCCAAATGTTCTTTCCCTTTGGGAGTTTAGAGTGTGCAAATCAAGAAAATGGTCCATTGCATAATGAATGTTATAATGGACACTGCAGACCCAGAAGAGAGAGGAAGCAAGGGGTAGAGGGTCAAAATACTCACCTACTGGGTATAATGCACACAGGTGTGGGTGGAAAGTACACTTAAAGCCCAGACAAAAATTATTTGTTCTCCCTAAAATTATTGGAATAAAATACATATTATATATTAATCTGATAAAATCCAGTATGCCTTCTTGATAAAAACCCTTGAACATCTAGGCATAGATGGAACATACCTCAAAATAGTAAGAGATATCTACGAGAAATCCACAGCATACGTACTGCTAAACAGACAGAAACTGGAACCATTTCCCCTGAAAACCGGAACAAGACAAGAATGCCCATTCTCACCCCTCCTGTTCAACATGGTATTGGAAGTCCTAGCTAGAGCAATCAGACAAGAGAAGGAAATCAGGGGTATCCAAATAGGAAAAGAGGAAGTCAAGTTATCCCCTTTTGCAGACGACATGATTCTATACCTTGAAAATCCAAGAGAATTTGTCAAAAACTTCCTTTCACTGATAAAGGACTTTGGCAAAGTGTCAGGGTATAAAATAAATGTGCAAAAGACAGCCACATTCCCATATACCAACAATAAACAAACAAACTCAAATAAAAAGCACAATCCCATTCAAAATAGCCACACAAAAAATGAAATACCTTGATATCTTCCTAACCAGAGAAATGAATGAACTTTACAACGAAAACTATAAAACACTGCTCAGAGAAATCAAAGATGACACAAACAAGTGGAAAAATATTCCATGCTCATGAATTGGAAGAACCAACATTGTTAAGATGTCCATCCTATCCAAGGCAATATACAGATTTAATGCAATACCCATTAAATTACCAGCAGCATTCTTCTCAGACCTGGAAATAACAATACAGAAATTCATAAAGAAACATGAATGACCAGGAATAGCCAAAACAATTCTCAAAAAACAAACAAAAAAACAAAGTGAGAAGTATCACACTCCCAGACTTGAAACTTTATTATAAATCAACAATATCAAAACAGCCTGGTTTTGGTACAAGAACAGGCATATAGACTAATGAAACAGAAATAGAGACTCCGGCAAAATTTCAATTTTTCAACCAACTTATTTTCTACAAAGCCTCCACCACCAACCACTGGGGAAAGGGGAATCTATTCAGTGAATGGTGCTGGGAAAACTGGCTGACCACATGCAGAAGATTAAAACAAAACCTATCACCATACCCCAAAATCAACTCTAAATGGATCAAAGATCTAAATGCAAAACCTCAAACTATAAGAGCCTTAGAAAACGCAGGAGACCCCCTTATGGAAATTGGAACTGGCAACTAATTTCTGAAGAAAACCCCAAGTGCCCATGCCATAAGAGATAAGATAGACAAGTGGGACCTCATCAAACTGACAAGCTTCTGCAAAGTCAAAGAAACCATCAAGAAAGCAGAGAGACAGCCCACAGACTGGGAAAAAACATTTGCCAACTGCATATCTGACAAAGGCCTAACATCTAATGTCTATGAAGAACTCAAACATGCCGAAAAGAAAAAAAACAAACAGCCCCATTACAAAGTGGGCAAAAGATATGAGTAGACACTTCTCAAAAGAAGACATACAAGCAGCCAACAGATACATGAAAAAATGCTCAGCCTCACTAGTCATTAAAGAAATGCAAATTAAAATCACACTGAGATACCACCTAACTCCAATCAGGATGACCATCATGAATAACTAAAAAAACAACAGATGCTGGAGAGGATGAGGGGAAAAGGGAACACTTCTACACTGTGATGGGATTGTAAACTAGTACAATCTCTGTGGAAAACAGTTTGGCGATTCCTAAAAGAGCTAAAAATCGACCTTCCATATGACCCTGCCAATCCCCCTACGAAAAAGATACCTGCACACGTATGTTTATTGCAGTATTATTTGCAATAGCAAAAACATGGCTCCAACTTGCTGCCCATCAAAAGAGGACTGTATTTTTTAAAATGTGGTACATATACACAATGGAATATCACGTAGCCATAAAGGAGGTCAAAATTCTGAACGTTCCAGCAACTTGGATGGACTTTGAGTCTATAATACTGAGAGATCTATCACAGAAACAAAGAACTGAGTACCATATGTTCTCACTCATAAGCAGACCTTGAACAAATATCATAATACTATAAGAAAGAGATTGGCAGTAGTTGGAAACTGCCAGAGAAGGGGCAGGATTGGCAGTAGTGGGAAACTGCTGGGGTAGGGGGTACATCTCATCAACAAGGGTACCTGCGTAATGAACATTTGTATACCTAACCCTGAATTGTACCCTATATCTTCAAAATAAAATTTTTTAAAAATAAATAAAATATATATTAATCTATTTGACTTTGTTCTGTATGAAAGAACTACTCTCAGCTATCCTAAAGAAACAGTCAAGAAGTCACAACACTGTATCTATCTCTCTGTCACTGCACATAAGAACATTCGCTGCCTCTGACAACAGATAAATCAAAGCACCTTATCAAGTTGTTTCAAATGCAGGTAACAGGAAGCCATGTTCCTCTGTAGCTTGGCCAAGTCCAGATGGGTTTGATCAGATGAATAAAACCTCAGAGAAAAATAGTACCAATGTAGGGCATCAGCATAATTTTGTACCTAAAGTTTAAAAAGAAATAACAAAATCACAGAGATATCTCTACTCTATTTTTCCCAAGTCACCTATAGAAACAAACAAAAGATGATATTGGTTTCTTTTTTAGGCAACCAAAACACAATACTTTTTCTACTGATTTCTAAGTGCATTTTATTATCAGCCTTGATCAACAGAAGTTTTAGATAAAGTGGAAACTGATATTCTATCTTTTCCTACACATTAGATATTTAACGCATGGAACGAAGTGCCTGAGAGAATGGTGAACCACCCCAGAAAATTCAAAATCAATTTTTAAAGTTATTCAAAAACAATAAAAATTTTAATTCACCTTGCTAAGACAGCAAGTTCCCTACATACAAGCCTTCAAGTTGTGAACTTTCAAAAATGCAAACATGTGTTTGCATTTTCAATCGCCTAAGTTAGTTCATTTGTATGGCATACATTGTCACATGCTATACTGTAAGATTAAAAATGCTTTGTTTTTTATGTATTATTTGTGTGAAAATATTATAAACCTATTACAGTATGATACTATATAGCCAATTGTGTTAGTTGGATACCTAGGTTAACTATGTTGAACTTATAAACAAATTGGACTTACGAATGTGCTCTTGGAACAGAACTCATTCGTATGTGGGGGCCTTAGCTGTACAGCTATTTCCATCTTTTGATGTTCCATTTCAAATTTATCCTTCGATATATTTACCACATTGTAATCATGGCTTACAAGAATTTCATGTTCTATTATTTCCATTCAAATTTTTTGAATCAAGGTCTCACTGTGTCACTTAGGCTGGAATGCAGTGGCATAATCACAGCTCACTGAGGCCTCAGCATGCTGGGTTCAAGCAATCTTCCTGCCTCAGCCTCTCCAAGTAGCTGGAATTATAGGCGCATGTCACCACACCTGGTAATTTTTAAAAAATTTATTGTAGAGATGCGATCTCATCAAATTGTCCAGGCTAGTCTAGAATCCTTGGGATCAGGCAGTCCTCTCGCCTCTGCCTCTCAAAGTGCTGGGGTTACAGGTATGAGACACCATGCCCAGTCTGAGCTGCAATTTTAATGGAACTTTTTAAAGCATTACTTGAGGGTATTCCATAAACTCTCACCCCCACAAATGCATTTATTTGCAATACTCTAGACATATTTAGTTAATAGTAATAAATTAATAGTAATTTTTAATTACTAGTAATTATTTAACGTCTGTTCTTCTCCCGCACTCCAACATTAAAAAGCTCCATAAAAGTGATACATAATATTTAATCAAATTAATATATCATGATTTTATTTTCTTAATGTTGGATATTTAGTGAATTTCCAAGTTTTTAACTATTATAATTAATGCTGATGTATTTTTATACAAAAATATATTTTTCCTTTAAGTCATTAAAAAATTTTCAGTGGTAAGAAGCTATTAGGAAAAATCTGATAGAAATAGCCTGGATAATTTTTTTTTTGCATCTAAGACAACTGAGATTGCTTATAAACCAAGGTAAGGTAAATGAGTCCCTTATACCCTATCAAGAAGGTTCACATTTTTCAATTAAGAACAGAAGTCATTAGGACCTTCAAGGAATAAAATGTCCTCTTTAACTAGAAACAATTGTGCTGAGTATTTAAAGCACTGCTTTGACTATTTAGAAATAAGATTGCATTTTTCTCCAGGGTTGAAAGTGAAAGTTAAAAAAAATTAAAACATTCAACAAGACTGGAAAATGAGAGGAAATAAAATGAATCATTAGGAGAATGGGAATTCTGAAATAGTTGTTCACCTGCTCAGTGAAGAAATAAAGGCCCTCTAAAAGATAACAAGAATACTATTCTATTTTGCAACACCTAGCCATAAGACCTAGGTCTCTGTATGCTTCTATAACAGATTCTGCTTCCCTGTCTTGGGTCTAATTCTTTATATCTTAAACTTTGTTCCCTTTTTTCTCTCTTCACATTTAACTCACTCCTACAAAACCTACCACAGTTTTTTTTTGAAACAGCCTTATTGAGATACAATTGATATACAAAAGTTACACATATCTAAACTGTACAATTGTTTTGACATATGTATTCACAGCTGAAACTATCAACACAGTCAAGGCAATAAACTCACTTCAGCCCTTCCCGACCTCTCATCCCCAAACCACCATGGATGTACTTTTTGTAACAACTGATTAATTTTCATTTTATTGGAGTTTATATCATTGAATCATTGAATATGAACTTTTTTATCTGGCCCCTTTCACTCAGCAAATAGTTTCTAGATTTATCCCCCTTATTGCATCGATCAATACTTCATTCCTTTTTATTGGTGAGTAGTATTTCATTGAAGGACACACAGTTTTGTTTACCCACTCATTTGCTGATGGACATTTGGGTTGTTTCCAGTTTTTTACTATTACAAATAAAGCTGTCATAAACTTTTGTGTGCAATTCTTCTATGGGTAAGTATTACCTTTTTTATTCTCTCTCTCTCTCTCCCTCTCTCTCTCTCTCTTTTTGAGACAAGTTCTCCCTCTGTAACCTAGGCTGGAGTGCAGTGGTGACTTCATAGCTTACTGTAATCTATAACTCCTGGGCTCAAGAGACCCTACTGCTTCAGCCTCCTGAGTAGCTAGGACTACAGGTGTGCACCACTATACTTGTCTAATTTTTGTAGAAATAGGGACTCACTGTTTCCCATGTTGATCTTGAACTCTCCTGGACACAAGCAATCCTCCCACCTTGGCCTCCCAAAGTGCTGGAATTACAGGCATGAGCAACCACTCCTGGCTTTCCTTTTCTCTTGAGTACATACATAGGATTGGAATGGGTGGATTTTATGGTAGGGGTAAATTTAACATTTTAGAAAACTGCCAAACTATTTCCCAAGCTGTTTGTATTATTTCACATTCCCACCATGAAGTTCCAGTTTCTCAACTTCCTTATCAGCATTTAATATGGCCAATCTTTTCCACATTGGCTATTCTAAGAGTTGTAGTGGTATCTCTTTGGGGTTTCAATTTGTATTTCCCTAATGACTCATAGGCCACATTTTTGTGTGCTTATTATCATTTACACAACCTTTTTGGTGAAATATCTGCTCACATATTTTGCTAAGTTTTGAATCTTTTTTAATATATTGAGTTTAGAGAGGTTTTTTTTAGTATTCTAGCTACTAGTTCTTTGTTGTATAGATGGTTTGAAAATTTGTCTCCCAGTCTGAGCTTGTATTTTCATATTCTAAGTAGAATATCTTTTTTGAAATAAGTATAATTTCCATTTTTTTCCCTAGAGGATGTTTTCTCTTCAGTCCTTAAAGACTCAGCTCCTTACGTGGGCTTTGGTGAAAGTCATGGAGCAACACTTACAGATTTAAATTGGGGTGGGAGTGTTTGGTGTTTGCAGGCTTCACAAGACTGATTCCTGACTACCTTGCTATGAATGGCACAACTCATGCAGTAATGCAGTTTTATATACATCTTGGGAAGCACATATGTGTCAAAAACACTCACTTCAGAAAGGTTTCTGATAGCTGTAGCCTCTACTGTGTTTTGAATGATGAACTTCTCAATAGCCTTGTTCTTGGTCATACATAGGTGCAGTTCATGCAGGAAATGGGCTACACGTGGTTGTGGCCCTTTTTGGCATGACTGTTGCTCCTTTTTTTTTTTGGTCAATTTTAGAAACGAGGACCTGAGACTAAACAGAATCTTTCACAGAGCAAGAGTTTTTGATTTGATGAAATTCAATTTATTTTTTCTTTTATGCAACGTGTGTGTGTATCTGTATATGGGGGAGGGTTCACTATATTGTCCAGGCTGGCCTCAAACTCCTGCACTCAAGGGATTTTTCTGCCTGCCTCAGTCTCCTGAGAAGCCAGGACTACAGGTATGTACCACTGCACCCAGTTTGTATCATGTTTTTTGAGTCAAGCCTAAGAACTCTTTGCCTAACTTATATCCTGAATATTTTCTCCCATGTATTTTTATTAAAGTTTTACATTTTACAGTAAATTTTATAAACCATTTGAGTTAATTTTTTAAATAAAATATGAGGTTTAGATCATGGTTAATTTTTTGACTGTGGGTGTCCAGTTGCTCTAGTACTTTTAGTTGAAGACACCATCTTTCTTCCATTGAATTACTTTTGCACATTCTAAAAAATCAGTTGAGCATATTTATGTGGGGTTTCAGTTCTCCATTCTGTGCCATTGATATGTGTCTATATCTCTAATAATACTGCACAGGTCCCCAACCCCCAAGCCACAGACTAGTAGCGGTTCATGGGCTGTCAGGAACCAGGCTGCACAGTAGGAGGTGAGCAGCAGGCAAGGGGAGCTTGGCCTTCTGTCAGATCAGAGGTAACATTAGATTCTCATAGGAGGAGAGACCCTATTGTGAACTGAGCATGTGAGGGATCTAGGTTGCAGCTCCTCATAAGAATCTAATGCCTGATAAGCCATGCCCCCCTCACTCCTCACCCCTTCCCATTCCCCTATCTATGGAAAAATTGTTTTCCACGAAACGGTCCCTGACACCAAAAAGGTTGGGTACTGCTGGACTCTAGATAACTGGAGCCATACAAGTCTTGAAAGTGAGTAGAGTGATTCTCTCCACTGTATTTTCTTTCTCAGAATTGTTTGCACTATTTTTATTGCTTCATGTAGAAATTTTAGAATAATCTTGGCTCTCTACATATTTTGCTCATCCTTTTTCTTGTAAACTATTTGTATCTTTATATGAAAAGTATATTTCTTTTAAGCAGCACATAAACTTGGGTCTTGATTTTTTATCAGGTTTGACAATCTCTACCTTTCATTGGGGTGTTGAAGTCATTTTTCTTTTTTTTTGTATGACTTGTTTTATTGTGATAGTCACCTTATTATAGGGCAGTGACATCTTTGGAAGGTCACCATTCGGCCTACCACAACAGTGTACTAACAGTGTTGGAAAGGTTTCTGAAAAACCTCCTAATTTCATGAAATGTATACATAAACAATTTGTGAAGTTAATTTGTGAAAAACTGATAACAATGCAAATGATTCTTGTCCACAGCAATCTAAAAGAATGCTGCCCCATATAAATGTGATTGATTTCCATCTGCTAGAAGGAATAACCGCAAATGTTATTGTTCATAGTCTTGTAGGATATTAAGCAATTTTTCATCTATTAACAAATTATTCTCAATGTCCTTCAACCGACTCTATTAATCTCAGTATTTAAAGTAATCCTTTTAGGCAAGGCACAGTGGCTCATGTCTATAACCCCACCATTTTGGGAGGGGGAGGTGGAAGAATCACTTGAGCCCAGGAATTCAAGACCAGCCTCAGCAACATAGCAAGAACTTGTCTGTACAAAAAATCAGAAAGTTAGCCAGATATAGTAGCATGTGCCTGTAGTCCCAACTACTCTGGAGACTGAGGTAGAAGGATCACCTGAGCCCAGGACGTTGAGGCTGTGGTGAGCCATATCATGCCACTGCACTCCAATCTGGGTGACAGAATGATAATACTATAAGAAAGGGAATGGCAGTAGTGGGATACTGTCAGGGTGGGAGTGAGGGGGGAACACAACATCAATAAGGGTACTTGATCTCAAACCAGGCAAAGTGGGGACCAAAGGGAGGCCCAAACTTTACCTTTTTGAGTTTTTTCCTATGTTTTTGACAGACTGGGTTAATTCCATATTTTGGTCTTCAAGCTCTGAGATTCTTTCCTCTGCTTGGTTGATCCTGCTCCCCATGCTTGTTACTTAATTTTTGATTTCCAGGACGGAGTTCTTCAATTCCATTATTTCAGAATAGGTTTTTCTGACAGGCCAACTCCACTTTTACTTCCTGTATGACTTCGGTGAGTTTCACTTCTTGTTTCTCTCTGTTCATCTTAGCCATCCCATCTCTGATTTCTGTGACTGTCATCTGGGGAAGGTCATTCAGAGGGGTGTCCATTGTGCTCTGATAGCTGCTTTTTCAGGTGCTGTCTCTTTAGTACACTGAGGGTTGCTTATATTTCTTCACTGATTTTTTTTCTCATTTGTGATAGGCCTCTCTTCCCTCTCTGCAATTCCTTTTGGTTTTGTTGTTCTGAAGCTAGCCACTGACCTGCTCTTCCAGAGCCTTTTCTGCGATTCAATATAGTGAGAGGAGGGACATTTACTTTTGCTACCTGCACCACCCTGCGGCAGGTTTCTCAACTGTAGCAGCCTTTGCTGCTAGCACTCTGTGGAAAGTGGGTGAGGGGATGGGCCCCCCTGTCTGCTATCTGTATCCTAGAAGCCTTCCCATTGAGAAAATCCTTCGTATCTCTCCTTCCCTGTTCAAGTTCACACACTGCTCTTGAAAAAGAGCTATTTCCCTGCCATGAGGGAAGTGGGAGGGGATCCGCCCTGTAGGCCCGTAGGGTTTGGAGTTGATTCTTCCTGATTCTGATTTGGCTGGTAAGATGGGCCAGGCACCAGTGAGGTTCACTCTGCAAGTCGGCTTTCCAGCCTGGGAGCCGTCTGCCCTGGCAGAAGCCATGCTCATGGCTACTGACCCAGCATGGATTTTCCCCCCATTCTTCTGTGGGTTCAGTTGCCCACCCTTGGGCCCTGATCTGGACCAACTACTTGCACATGGCTGAGAGGGGTGTAGGTACCCAAAGCATCTTAGGTACGCTCACCCACTCCCATTCACCAGGCAGGGCTTTGATTCCTGTGTGAGACTGGCACACAGAGGGAGATAGGGCCTGGATTCCTGTACCTGCCATCATTTTCTGATCTCTATGTGCTCGAAGAGACCTTTGCTGGGTACAGGGTGCTTCACTCGTCCAAAGGTGTTAGAGGTATCTCTATCTATTGGCAGCTTGCTCCCTACTCTCTGCCTTGCTTGGAGAGAGTGGCAGTCAGTTTGCTGCTCCACGGTGGTCATCTTGCAACCCCAGCTCAGGATGTCCTTTTTCTTTGGCTGCTTTTAAGATATTCTCTTTGTCACTGGTTTTGGGCAATTTGATTATGTGCCTTGGTATCCTTTTGTGTTTCTTGTGTTTGGGGTTTGCTAACATTTTTGTATTAGTGGGTTTCGGGTTTTCATTAAATTTTAAAGGTTTTATTTCATCAAATATTTGTTCTCTCTCTCTCTCTCCTCATTTGGCAATCCAAGTTACCCATACATTAGGCTACCTAAAGTTGTCTGTTATCTCACTGATGCTCTTCTAATTTTAAAGGCTTTTTTCTGTTTCATTTTGAATAGCTTTTTTGCTGACTTTAAGTTCATCAATCTTTTTTTTTTAAATGCCTAATCTGATGGTAACACTATCCAATATATTTTTCATCCTAAACATTATAAGTTTTCATCTTTAGAAGTTTGATTTGGGTCTTTATAAATTTCCCATGCCTTAACTTTCTATATGCACACAATAATCTTTGCATGCTTGGTAATTATTTTACTGGATGCCAGATATTGTGAACTTTATCCTTTTGAGTGCTATACAGTTTTATATTCCTACAGATATTCTTAAACTTTGCTCTGGGAAGCAATTAAGTTCCTTGGAATCAATTTGATCCTTTCATATCACACTTTTATAATTGTTTAGGTGGTTATGGAGTAGGGTTCAGTGTAAGACATTATTCTCCATTTCTGAGACAAGACCTTTGTCTACTTAATGCCCCATCAATTAGCGGTTTTACAGTCTAAGTGATAACAGGCTTCATTCCCAGCCCCATGTGAGTGCCAGGTACTGTTTCCTCCAATATTTTCATATGGCTTTTCATTTCATTTCATGTATGTCCTGATCAGCACTCTGCAGAATGCTGAAGAAAGGCCCTCTGATCACTGGTGTCCTTTGTCTGTGTTGTGTGCTCCCCCTCTCTGGTACTCTATCCAAATGAATTCTAGCTTTTTTGGTCTCCCCAGACTCTCAGCTCCATATCCTCAAATCTGGATACCTGCCAGGCTCCATTTCAGTTCCCCTTTCTGTGCTATAACCTGGAAATTCAAGGCAGTAAGTTGCACGGTTGTTTTCTCATCTTATTTCTTATCTCCCAAGGATCATTCTCCTTCATTGTCTGATATTCAGTGTCATAAAAAACATTCTTTTCTTTTCATTTATTTTGTCTTTCTTTGGGGAAGAGTATTGTTCAAGCAGTGATATAAACTGGTCCCTGTTACTACATATTGATTGGAAGTGGAAGTGTGCCACAACTTTTTAACAGTACATCTCATTTTATTTACATTTATACACAAATGTACACAAAGATTAGAAGGAACTATACCAAAATATCAAGAGTGATAAGATTATGAATGATTGTTCTTTGCTTTTTTAAAAAAACATATATTTAGTTTTAAATTTTTCTACAGAAGACCTGGATTGTTTTATAAATTTTATTTTTTTACATAGTTTTATTACATCACAACCTTTTAAAGGGATTAATGTCCCCCAGTTTTTACATCCCTCAAGTCAAAATAAATTACATTCTTGTATCTTAATATGAGTGATGACATTTCCTTACACTGTACGCTATCAACGGAAAGAAATCATCATGTCTTGTTATTTTTGAATAAGCTCTTGTACACTGCTCATTAACACTCTACATTGTGAATATTTAATAAATGTGTTTTCTAGACAAAGAGACATTATTAAAGTATTTGATGCTCTATTATTTTATAGTGAACACACTTTGTGTTGCAGTGATGAAAGAATATAAATAATGAAAATAGATTATTCTCACTATAAGAAAGGGATTAGCAGTAATGGGAAACTGCCAGGAGGGGAGGTGGGATTGGCAGTTGAGGGAAACTGCCGGGGGAGGGAGGGACACACCTCATCAACAAGGGTGCCTGCATAATGAACATCATCAACAAGGGTGCCTGCATAATGTATATCTAACCCTGAATTGTACCCCACATCTTTAAAATAAAAATAAATTTTTTAAAAGGGAAAGAAAAAAAAAGAGAATAGATTATTCTCAAACCTCAAAACTTCTGGCAGCTTTTTTCCACAGAATGTCATGTAACCAGCTTACTAATTCTTTTGTCAGTTGTCTTTCTGTTTGATGACCTTTAGAAACAAACAGACAGGCAAAAATGAGCTCTGAAAACAATTTAATCAATTACATTAAATAAACAGTGTTAGCTATACACAAAAGCTAAACTCTTTAAGTAATGGCTATAAAAACAAGCACATTCAGACAGGTAGGTTTACTACCATAAATGATTATATAATACAATCAGAGTTTGCTAGAGTCACAGTAATTCTCCCATAAATCTGTGATAGTTTTCCAACCTAGTCTCTTTTTAACTTATTTTTCCATGTTTCAAATTAGATCATCATCTGGTGCCTTAATAAGGTTATTGTGAATGAACAGACAGCAATGCCAGAAATCATTAATAAGAAGTGTTTATACTATTACGTACTGAATAGATCAGATCAAGTTCACAGGAAAGGCCAGTTATAACCTGAAGCCTTTGTAAAATACTTTAGGACCATGCTTACACATAAACTTTATTACATTAAATCTTAACTCCTGTCTGATTGTTTCTGGTCTAGATGTTTACAGAGTTCAAATATATTAGCACATTAAGGTAACATATAAACTATAATAGAATTCTATACTTCCTCCTCTTCTTCCCCTTGGCACAAACTATCAATTTCCACAAAAGTCTTAATTAGAATGCTGAGAATCTCTGAACTGCTAGCCCAGTCAGCAAATATAGTTTGTTCCATGACTTAGTTAAAAAGACTGACATGAGAGCAAACAGCTACTAAATGCATCTACTTTAAATATTATAATACCTTGAGAGTATAAGTGTATAATTAGATATCACAATAAAACTTTGTCTAACTGGAATTTTAGAAAAATGAATTATTCCGTATAATCAAGTTTTCTAGTTAGCTGATAATTTACTTTCTTTAAGCATAAAACATTTTCATTTTAAAAGTCTAAATATTTTCATAAATGTTCTTAAATGTTTTCTTTTTTTTTCTTTTTTGAGTTGGAGTCTCACTCTGTCACCCAGGCTGGAGTGCAGTGGCATGCTCATGGCCACCACAGCCTCGAC